AAACCTTTTATCTTTCTTCACCAGTGACAACCATATCCATAGGCCATACCTACCACCATCAGCGGAGTTGTGTCCATCAATAACCGCCAGCACCCGCACCGGCTGAAGCAGCAATAGTCAAGCATCACAATGGCAGTAACCCCGTCAGCAGTAACAAAAATGAAGGCCACCCATCATTGTCAAAACCCAGCAGCAGCCACCTCAGTGGCATTCCCTCTCACCAACTCCCTCCATCAAGACAGATGACCAAATCCAGCCAGCAATTCCTACCAGCAGCGCCTCAAGTGTTGGTAAGTGGCCACCATCAACGACGTCAGTTGTCTCCACCATCCACAACAGCTTCTCCATTCTCTCAGCCCAGCTCTTCCATCTCCTCCAAAACCTGAAATTAACATCATCAAAACCTTTTTTTTCTGTTGTTTTGTCCAAGCAAACCAAACCAGCCTCTCCTCTATCTCTCCCTCATAGTCTCCCTCATTGTTACAAAACGTGACAAACACCACTGAGCCAAACCAACATGGGTGGAAGGAAGAAACATATCTGTTGAGAAAAAAAAATGAGATTCTGGTTATGCTGATTTTCTTTGTAGGTAACTTTGAGATTCACCATCGGCACGGGAAGAAAGAGGAGCACTCTTTCAGGGTCTTCCAGCATTGTTCCCGAGTTTCCTCCAATCTATTCCCAACCTTCACAAGGTTTATTTTGATATTTTGAAATTTGGATGATGTTTAATGTTTAATGTTTTTTTCTTTTTATTTATTGTTGAATTTTGATGATTTGCAAGGTGTGTGAGTAAGATTAGTGGAAAAGGAAGAGCGTGAGTAGCATTTTGTTTTCTTTTTTAGTTTTTTAGCTTGGGTTAAATAAATGATGAAAAAGGATAAAAAATAATTATCAAAAGATTTTTAATTATATATGGACAAGTTTTTTTTTAAATGATGTTTTTTTAATGAAATAAATATAAAAACAATATTGCTTGATTTAGATTAAAAAAATCAGTTTTTATATTTTGCATGATTATAGCTTTAATAAAAACAAAATGACGAGCACTCTATCTAAAATTTAAAAATAAATATAATTATTTTTTTATTTTTAACATTCTGAATTATAAATTTATTTTTTAATATAAAAAAATATAATTTTAATAAGTTTCCAAATAAAGAACACATTAAATTATAATTGCTATGTATTATACACTAAAATCACAGCAAATTTAAGATTCATCAAGTTTGAACTCCATTTTTATGTCCAAGCTGGCCCAGTCACTCGTATAACTAACTTCTCATTTACTAGATCTTGCATCAGCTTCTCATTCCATCAAGCTAACCAAACTCAATAGCTATAAGAGATCCTCGTTCACATTCCATGAGCATTTCCAATACCTAAAGTGAAGAGATTCAATGGACCACACAACGATGTCAATGGGTTTGACCATGGCTCAATGCTTTGGGCAGGAGCCGTGGCTCGATTAGATGCATGTTATCATGTCTCAATGCTATACTCAGCTAGTTAATGTTGTTGGCTCATCACGCCGGTACTTGTGCCGGGTTCTTCATGACAGTGGCTCATCGTTAGGGATCAAATGTCAAATAAAGAAATCATCTTTAAAGATAACCAAACTTTTGATAGAGAAAAAAATGCAAGAGTAGGAAAATCATAAACCAAAACAATCAATGACATAAAATGATAAAGGACACAACAATGCATAAGAATGGATACATATCTCATCTCAAATAAGATATATAAAATCACCTCTCAAATAAAACCTCAAAAATAATTAAACAGTTATATAAAATCCAGCAACATATAAATCCAAAATTGCTTACAGTGATTGGGGATCCAGTGTGTTAAGCATAGGCTAGCCTCTAATCAAACCTTCAGTACCATCATAGCAATAGTCCTAACAACATTCTCTCCCAAATGCTAGGCCACTTCAAGAACCAACCGAATCGAATGTCCCTAAACTGAATCGAATGTCCCTAAATCTCTAAAGTGGACAAAATCGGATGCAAACCCTCATCTGGTAAACTCATTGATGATCTTCCCCTTTTCCCCTCTGATTTGGCGGGAAATGGTTGTGATGGAGGTGATGTGAAGGCGGTAAAGGTCGTGTACTCAACCGCGCGGTTAAGAAGGTGACCATAAGAAGACGCGCAGCTCATAGAGAATGTGGAGACCTTAAGGTTAGGACTTGTAATAATATTTTGATAAACAAGTATAATTTCGACCAAGTTATAGAATGTTAAAATTGTTTTATTATATAAAACAGTTACTTGGAAAAATTATCTACATATTTGAAAGGGAAAGACCTAATCAAGAATTTTTGGTACATTAGGGAGCTAATGAATGAAAAAAGTCTTTAAATTGCTTGTAGAGATATTAATGTTTAGGATTGGGGATTAATATGAGGTCACCCCTATAATTCTAGGGCTCAAAATTGATAACCATAGGCTGTTAAAATATTCGACTCCATTATTGAAGATAACATGAAGGAAAAGCACGCTAAGCTCTCAATTTTGTTGATGCTCTCCAAAGGATCAAATCATATTTTTACTTGTATTTTATCTCAAGAGTGACGAGTTGAATTAGCTCATTTTTAGAATATTGAGTGAATGAAAGAAGAAAATGAATTGATTTCAATATCAATGTGTGTTAAATGTTTGTGAATATTTCTTAACAAATATTTCAGTATATTGGTCAAGACACTTTGACTTATACGAGGAAACATGCTAACAAGAATGCTTATAAAAAGGAACTCAATAAGGAACTTAAGTCTTGCTATTGTTTAGTGGATTAGAATCATCTAAGCAGCAATTCAATCCATCTTAGCTCGGCAAGGTCTCCCCCCACCCCTCCATTTGGTTGAGAAACTCTTATTTTTCTTACTGCTTAGCAATAAATCGTTGACAATATTTCATTAAAGTATGCATCTATTTAGCTGAGTTTTTTTTTTAATTTTAATTTTGCTGTAGGTCTACAAATATGGCTAAACCATCATCAGAGATGGCTATCGAAGGATTGAAAAAGCTTTTAATTGACAAGTAATGTTCTTTTCTAATCATTTTATGTAAATACACTCATTACAGTTTGATCAATCATTGAGGGGGTACTGCTGACAGTTCTGAGCACGATTAACCATTGAAATAATGGAAGTTTTAAGTTATGGACACAACACATCATCCATTAATCTTTGAATGACAAGCCTAGCTAGTTATGCATCTAGATAACTAGTATTGTAATCTGGCATGCACGCAATTGGAATACTCTGGACTTGGAGCAACTATTGAATACGTTATGCTAACACTAGAGGTAAATCTATAAACTTTTTTCTTTAACATTTCTTCTATTAAACACTTCTTGTTTTTTTCCCTACAAGAAAACTTACCATACTAAGAATATCTTGGGCATTGGACATAGTCGTTGTGGTGGGATAGAGAGGCTGATGTCTCTTCCCAAATATTATGTTATGATATGCATTGCGTTAAATGATGGATTTGTCTCATGAAATATTAAATAAAGTTTTGTGTTTAATCATAAAATTATGATTATAAAATTTAAGAGTAATTATATAGTATTATGATCACTAAAAAATTTAATGATCTATAAGTTTGGGTAAGAAAACTAGTTATGTAATGAAAAAACATGTCACTTCTAGTGCACTCTATCTAAGGTAGATTTCATTATTTGTTTGATTGCTATGTGCTTCTATTCATTGGTCTCATCTGAAATTCAAGGCAGATCTTTATTCATGAGGAAATCTCTACTTTATCGGGTTAAATCTTAACTGTTTTAAATCTTAGATTTATTATTGCATTTAATTTCTATTCCTAATGTTTCGAGTAACAAACTAGTTATTATGAGGTTTTTTGTATTTTAATCAAACCCTAATGGATAATCATAATCGGTTACGATATCTAGTTTTTGTATTTTCTTAAAACATAATAGAAATGTGATTTTGTTTTTCCAGAAAATATACATGAAAAAACTTTAGGATTTTATCGTACATGCAAAAAAAAGATTATTTAAAAAAAAAAATTATTTTTGAAAATTTGAAATTTTCATAGGGGAAATAAGATATTTTAACACTGGATTTGTATCTTATAGTATAAGTCTACAGATCAATATTAGTCAAAATTATTAGAAAACCTTTGACGAACCTATAAATAATTTTAAAATGGTCTTCTGAAAAATTAATTTTTATTTATTTATTTATTATTATTATTATATATTATATATTTTTTAAATAAAGGGGCTTAACACGACCCAAAGTCCAAGTCTAACTTGATCAAATTGGGTTGGATCGACTAATGACCTAACAACTTTTTTTAAAAAAATATTGGACTAGACCTAGCCCAGCCATTTAGGCTCGGATGAAATAGGTTCAGCCCAGCTTATAACTGCTAGCAAAAGCCAACAGTTGCATGACGTGAATTATTTAACGTCTTAAATGCAAAAAAAAAAAGGTTGCAGCGAATTACTTAGCGCGGGGGTGGATGGCTGGTGGTTGTGCTCATGGCTCACAGTGGAGCTGTTAGTAGAGAAGCCGGTAACAAGGTCACTAGGGATAAGGACATGGTGGAGGAGGAGAAGGACATGGTTGGAAGATGAAGAAAAAGACTGGGATAGGTTGGTTTTTTGCCTATTATGCACTTAGATTTCTTATCCCTCAATGCTCGAAATCCACTTATATTTGGTGGAAGAGAGCTATTATGTCTTTATCAGGGACCAATTTTAGCCCTTAATTCAAGCGAGAAGGATCTTTCATTATAATCTAAAAAAATTAAGTTGTTTAAGGTTAGTTAGGTTGACCTCTTTAGGGTAACATCATGATAGCTATAAGGGTAATTAGCCGGGAAAGAATTACACTAGGGTATAATACAATATTAAGATATCATAATGGTGTATGGTTTGTTTAGTTTGGTTGAGAGATGAGATAAAGCATTAAATGCTCTGAAAAAGTAGACATTAGAGTAACTTTTTTGAGTAAAAGGTAATGGAAGATGAACAGTAACCACATAACAAGTTGTTTGGTTTTCTCTCTCTCTCTCTCTTTTTTGTTTTGTTTTTTATTGGTCAAAATGATGTTATTTTTGTCAAAACATAAAACGATGTCATTTTGAATTTTTAGAGTTTTAATTAGGGATTTAACTAATGTTTAATTTAGTCATTTGACTTTTGATTTCTTTTAATTGCATCCCTAATTAACCTCAAACTTTTAATTTTATGCAATTTTGACTTTACTGAACTTCAATATTAGCTCTAAATTTTAATATCTTTTTCATTGTGGTCCTTGATTTTGGATTTATGCAAATTGACCATTATTTAACCATTAAACTTTCAATTTTCTTTAATTTCACTCATGTCTTTAGCCGAATTAACCCTAAAATTTAGTGCTATTTTCAAAAAGTTCATAAGTTATGAATTTCTTTAATTTAACCCTTAATTAACCCTCAACTTTGATTTTCTTATAATTTTACCATTGATTTCAATTAATTGACATTGTAAAAATTAAGTTTGGTCCTCTAGAACTCTAATCTTCTCAATTAAGTTTAAATTGAGCTCAAAAACTTAATTTTTCACCTATTAAGCCTTTAATAAAATTAACTTTACCCATTAAAAATATTACTAGGTCCTTGCACCTGATTAGATATTTTAATTTGATCTAAATTAATCCTTCAATATAATTAAATTTTTAATTTAACTCATGATTAAATCAAATTGGCCTAATAAAAATATAATGATGTTCCTAGACTTAATTTTTATATAGATTTATCTAATAATTAATTCATTTAACTTTGAATCTATATTATATATTTAGTTTTGGATATAATGAAATATGATTAAGCTCTCAATTTTATACAAAACGCTAGCTTAATTCTTTCATATATATTTGGAATCTTTCTCAGTTAGTTTTTATAAAATTATCAAATTTTTTTGTTATTATTGTTTTTAATTACAAGTAAAAAAGAAGAAGATAGATTTGGAGGAACAACCCAAAAGGGTTATATGACATATGGTTCCAAGGAAATGTAAGATTTTTTCTGTTTGTTTTCTAATTGTCTTGACGTCGAGAAATATGAATGATGGAAATGAAAGTACGTGCAGTGACTTTAAAGATGAATGGGTTAAAATTGGCTAACGTCAAAGCTGAGTTTGTGCATCTATCACCTGAAATGCAGAACCAGATTTGTGAAAAGGTTATTACTTTTTATTTTATAATGGATAGCTGAAATGATGCTGGTGAAGTTAATTTGTTTAGGCAAAATTGCCATGCAGGAGGCTGTGAATTTGTCACTGATAAACATACAGACATACCCATATGTACAAGAAAGGATATATATAGCAATGAAAACTCTAGCTCTGAGGGGTGGTTATTATGATTTTGTTGATGGCTGTTTCAAGCTCCGAGAGTTCAAGCCTCATATAGCATCACCCGAATCGAGATTCAAGATCCTCGCTCATCCACATGAAATCACAATATGTATGTTGTTTCCATGTCTCTTTAATTTTCTTTTAGCATGTGATGCTGGTTGACGAGTATTCCATAATGACAGTTTGTGCTGTGCATGTGCGTGTCATTATGAACAATGATTATAGAGTAAAAACAGTAGGGCAGCTCCTTGCCTGAATGGTTCGTTTTACTGTTCATTTTCGTTATAGTCAAATTAGTTCTTGATCTTGTTATCAGGAATAAAAGGCCCTCTCTATATAGTGCATTCAAGTTGGAAACCAAGTGAAGTATTATGAATTAGTTTATTTTGTTGGATTGTTCTTTATCTGCATGCAGGTTGCTTTGTTTGAAGGATGAAAGTAGTGAGGAGATAAATAGGAAAAACAAGAATTTTAAACTTACTGCGCGAGCCCTTAACAGATTTTGCTTCAAAATTTGTATATAAACTATAGATGATGATGCTCTATGCTAACAAGATTATTAGCAGAGAATGGCATGTTTCCTACCATTTCCAGCATTGTCAAGAGTTCACACCCTCTTGAATTATGCTATCTCCTTGTTTAATTTGCTAGCGGTGCTGATATAAGCATTCAATAAAAAGGGAATTAACATCATTGGAGGGCCATCATGGCACTAAAATTACAAGATTAAGTAAGCAAGCAAAATAAATATACCCTATAAATTAAGTACTCTTTTACTGGATGGTGTGTGCAAGACTCGAAAGAACGGAGAGAATCTTGGCAGGAAAGAAGCCAAAGAAAAATACAAGAGGATAGATGTGGAAAGGGATAGATGTGCAAAGAGAGGGGAAATAGGACAAGATGTCCTCAGAATTATCTAGTCTGTCTGTGAAGATAAATTTGAATTCAAGAGAGCAACTTATGTATGATGTGTAATTAAAAGTAGATAATGGTGAGAATTAATTCATGTTAATTCTTTAATTTTTTAACTTCTAAAATTTATTATGAAAAAAAGGAAGGGTGAAAGAAGAATTTTAAATTAGATTTTTTAAATTTGTTTACTTTTTCTCACCTTATTTTTAGTGTTTTCATTCTTTTTTATGCTATGATTTTTGCATTTAAATCTAGAGCTTAGATTTATACTTTGTTGAGAGATATTTCTCTTTTATTTTGGTTAAAACATCTTATTTAGAAATCCATCTAAACCAAGATGATGTTGTTAATATATTACAAATATCTTAATTGTATAAGTGTGAAATAATAAAGACTTAAAAATAAAAGATTCATCAATGATAATAATAAAAAATTCATCACTTTAAAGTGTTTCAACAAGTAAGTACTCCTTTTATTTTAATTTAAACATGTTTGTCATGAATTTATAAATTTAAACATATATGTCCTATAGTTTTTCCTTAGATATCTTTTATTTAGTATGCCTTTGTGATGATAAACTAAATAATTCATGTTAATTATTTTTTTAACTATAATCTAGTTATGATAAACTAAATATTTTTACTCATTATTTTAATATAATCTGGGACTATTCTTTTGTATGATTATATAATATTTTGTTGTAAGTTTTCATTTTACAAACATCTCCTCAAAATTCTAAAATATAAGATATAGAATATGGTGTATTATATTTTTTTCTCTAATATATAATAGGAGTGATATTTTTTATTCAAAACAGTTTTTACTTATAAAAATAACCAAACTAAAATTTTATAAAATATAAAAATAAAAATGAAAACGATTCCAACTGATAAGTTTCAGTTCGATTCAGTTAATTTATATGAAAAACCAAAACCCAATCAACCGATTTTGATGCGGTTTAGATTGGTTAATTTTTAACTAAAAACCAAAATTATATTGTATTTTGAGTTTTGTTGAACTTTCTGATAGGTTTTGATTTTAGTTCAATTTGATTTATTTTTAATAAAACCAATTTGGTTGAGGTTTTTCGACTTCATACTTATGAAACAAAAACCGAATTAAATATTTTTTAAAATATTTTTTTATTACTTTTTTTTTTCAATTTAATAAGTTCTTTAGTTTTTTTGCTCCTCCTTGCTACGCATCGTCCTTATTGTATGACTAACAATTATAATAAAAAAATCAAGCTCAAGGTAGTGTATAATGTAGCATTCTAAATATAGAGATGTATTTTTGGCATAGTAATGTAGCTTGATTCTATAATAATAATAATAATATAAAATATTCTAATATTATATCAATAACCATTTGATAATTGAATTTGTGTTACATTCTAAAGATTTAAAACTGATTGTGTGTGATCTATTTTTAACTTTATATATCAATTGTTTATTTATTTTATATAGAATTGGTCATTCTAACATAATTTTCATAATTATTTGATTAAAAAAACTCTGATTTTATATATAAAAAAAAAACATTGAATTATTAGGTGAAGTCATAAACAATAGTTTTATAATATTATTTGATATTGATTAACCCTTGCTTATTAAGTTGTTAAAAGGAAAACAAAAAATTATATAATATTTTTGTAAGAAATGAAAGGATATTAAAATTGTAATTAAAAATCTTATTAACCAAAGTTAAAAGCTAAAAGGTGCGTGGAAAATATTGTTTTTCTATGCCCATTAACGTAGTGGATTACAATAATAATTCACAATGTTTTTTTTTTGGTATTTTAATCTCTTTTTATTTCTTTAATTATTGATTTTTTCTCTAATTTAGTCCTTATATAATATGTTTATGTGATTTAGAATTGATAATTTATTTTAATGTTTTTTATATGGTTTTTGCAATATCAAAAAAATATCTTAATATCGAGGTATTGTCTGTTTAAAAAAATTAGTTAAATAAATAATAATTTAAAAAATTAGGTTAATAAATTTTGTAGAGTTAATGATCTAGTTTGCAAATTTGGTAAAGTAACTTTGGTTGCTCCAGTTTGCGTGTTTAGATAGATATTTTCTTTTAATTAAATTTCATTATGTGATTGTCTATTTTTTATTATATAATTAAAAAAATAATTTTTTAAAAAAATAATTTTTTTAAAAAAATATATTTTTAAATTTTAGAAAGTTCATGGGCTTATTAACGGGTATGATGAGTTTAATTTTTTATATTATAAATTTTTATAAATTTAATTTTTTATTTTATCCTTTAATATTGAATTGATATAATCAAGTTTTATAATTTGTTTTGTTTTGTTTTCTATAAGGTTATTATAATATTAAAAAAAAATCTCATTATTTGGTGTGTTTCTTACTATAACAATATTTTGTTAGCTCATTAAGAAGTTTTTTAAAGCATATTTTGTTAGCTCATTAAGAAGTTTTTTAAAGCACACCGGGTGTTTGTGAGTATGGTTAATTTTATTTTTTAAAATATTTTTTATTTAAAAATATATTAAATAATATATTTTTTTTTAATTTTTTAAAAAATATTTTTGACTTCAGCTTATCAAAATAATATAAAAATAATATAAAAATATTAATTTAAAATAAAAATAAAAAAATAATTTTTTCTAAAAATATTTTTAAAACATCAAAACATAGAAACACTTTACACAGCTGATGTGTCACTGTAAGTGTGTAACTTACATGATA